AGTCTGTTCAAACATTTTATTGTACTTCTCTTCTTACAGGAAATTCCGACATGTTGGATATCGATGGCTTTCATTTGGTAGGTATTTAACAGGCTAAAGAAATCTGACAGAAGGGTCATCCCATCTTGCACTGTTTGGGCGATTAGGGACAAGTTCCTAGAAGCTTTGAAGACTGCCCTGGGTTTTTTGACGCTATAGAAGATGATGAAATAAACTTTGTGTTGGAATAATTATTTATAAATTGTTATGAAAGATACCTGATAAGTCCATCCTCATTAATGCAACAGATCTTATGTAATAGATTCATTCTTGACAATTGACAATTCATGTGACAACTGTACTCTGTTTTTTTTGACAATCTCATCACTCATGAAAGGAAATTTTGTCAGCATAGGCCTAGAGCTTTTGTATATCTGGACCAGTCAATTGTGTGTAACCTTCCAGACCTAGTCTGGAATTGAAATTGTTGTTATTGATGCGGATAGGCCAGCAAAGTTGATTTCAAGAACATTTTGTTGTTAAGTACAGTACAATGTTTTTTGTATCTTCCCCACTCTCGTCTCATATTTTAAAATTGTAAGCTAATGCAGTATATAAATGTAACTTGTTCTTCCCTATTCTTTGCATTGGTATAAACTACAGTAACTATAAATCCATATATTTAATATTTTGATAATAAATAGTGTGTAAAATGCAGTGGCATAAGTCCAGGCATTAAAAAATAAGCAGTTTCATAGAATAACTTTACACAAGACTGTACAAGGCCATACATTAAAATAGTTTTCATACTGTACTATCAACTTCGCACATTTGAAAATTAATCCTTACAATTTGTTTTCTAAATCTGGGTCACATATTTGCTTCAAAAGGATTACTATTGAATGGATTATACCATTTTGGTGGTGGACGACGATAGTTGCTTTTACCAGGTTACCAGGTAGCACAGACACAAAGGGACCCTTAGGGGCAAAGAAAGTCATTGATCGAGTTCCTAGTCCACATTTCAAGCGCTCTGAGCATCTTACATTAGATGGATTTGTGTGCTATACTGTATAAAACTACACTATTATTATTTAATAATATTAAAGATATTTTGCAAATGAAACAGGTACAGTAATACTGATACTGTACAGTATTTATTTATTTATTATAAATTTGGCATGCAATATAAACCAGATGCACAAAATACAAAAACTTAAGTGTGTGGCATTTCAGTATATCTTCAGAAAAAAAATCACTAGATAAATCATTTTAATTTAATTCTTTTGAAATATTTTGGGCTCAATCACTTGCTGCAGAGCTCTGAGCATCGCCACCTTCTGCTAACCATGGATTGGACATGTCCATCACATCATGTCCACACAGATGGAACTGTTAGCATCACATCCATTTGAGCCTGTCATATGCTCCTATCGAGAAATAAGTATACTTTAGTTACAATAATGCAAAACCAGGTTTGTTAAAAATCAAAAATGTTATCAAACATTGGCATTTGCTGCTTTATCAATAACATACCATACTGAGATACTATATATACTAATCTGGACAGACATTCATCAATTGACAGTATTTTCAGATTTTTTAATTACTTGATTGAAGCCTTCCTGTCTGCTAGTGTATAATGTATTATTGTTGCTTCTTAACAAAACTGACACACCATGCTGATATTTTTTACCATTCCAATATATTTGTTTCATGTACTCTGGCTGAACAGTGATGAGATATTCACTTAATTTTCTTTTGCTCACCTTAAATTGTGTGTAGCTTTCATTACAAGTTTCAGCAAACAACCAGAGTGTTTCTTGCTAACGTCTTGGGTGCTTGCATGCTTTGTACCACCTTCTTTCGTAGATGCCAATGTTGGGTGGTTGTACTCATGGCAAATGGTGTGGTATGTTTGTCTCATCATGGCGACTGGCAAATATACCTATGTGGCCAGAGTGTTATGTTTCGGCATATCACATATTGTATCTTGTCCTACAAAAAAATATATATACTGTATATATTTTATTTGAATTCCACATTTCAACAACAGTTGAAAGTTAGGTTTGGAGTAACATATGCACCATGTTATTATTTAATGGGGCGTTATTGTTGTGTAGCCTTATAGTATTATTAGTAGGCCCTACTAGGGGCCTAGGCCTATTATGAAAAAAAAATTAATTAATGTGACAAAGTCGTTATGGCATGACAATTCTAGGCTAGTAGTAGAAACCTACTACTGTAACTTTACCGTCAGCTGGATAAGGCTGCGTGCGAACTCACCTGCTACGGGACTGGAGCAGTGTTCTGGTCTAGGAGTGCGCTACTGCTGCTGGGTAGACACTGACTGTGCTAATCCTAGGCATAGGCCTAATTATAAACAAACAAGTCATCGGACTGATATACGTTTATTAATTCAATTGAATTATTCCTCCATGGTTGAATTGACGTTGACTAAACCGTCTCTCTGTAACTTCACACTATTGTTTTTAGGCTAGGCCTAGTTCTCGATCGTCGGGACGATTTTTCGATCAGCTGCTCGCCAAAATTGACAGACTGGTCTTGAATATTAATGGGTTGGTTAGAAAATGCTACCAAGCTTCTGAAAAAGCTGATCAGCCTCCTTTTCACCTGATTTTCCCGTCTCATCACATCATGTTTTGTTTCTCTAATTATCGTTACATCTCAACGTTTTTAATTTTTTCAAGTATTCTCCCCGAACTCAGGCAGCAATATATGGCCATTTGTCTCATCCCCGCACTTCCCCCTTTTTTTTTACCCCTTTTTTTTACTGTGTATTATCACAACTTAACTTTTCAATAATATTCAATCGTATCGATACTTTTGTTAAAATTCCCGTATAATTCCATGCCATCAAGATAATTTAATTTTGATTTTAAGTTTAAAAAAATGCTAAAGCTCTCGAATTTTCAAATGCGTGTGCGCTCAGTAAAAATAATTATTAAAAGAATGGTAATCATTACACTTTATAATCGAAGAATTTCTTCCTTTACATGTCTAAGAGTCATATCAATTTTTAAAAAAAACATCTTATGATTTAAAAATGTCTGGCCAGTAAATTAATTAAAATAATGAATGAATTTTATTTAGCTTTAATGATCCAAGTAAATCATTTAATATTAAGTTTGCTGATGATACTTGCCTGATTGGTTTGATTTCAAAAAATGACACATCCTTGTTTTATGACTATGTTGAATCTTTTATTGTTTGGTGTAAGGAGAATTGTCTTGAACTAAATGCAAAGAAGACTAAGGAAGTTATTGTCGATTTCAGAAGAAAAAATGAAACTAATCATGAAAATATTGTAATCGATAATGAGAGGGTGGAAATTGTTGA